TAATCATTTCTGCGCATTGGTAAATTTTGTTGATTACTGCTAAATCTGTGGGTACCATTGTTAATTTCCAATTTGGGGCAAAGGCTATTCGTGCTGCTGTGATTATGTGTAGCATTAGATGCTGTTGTTTTTTACTCCATGACAGTTCTGATATTCCCAATAAGAAGATCTCTGGATTGAGTTTGATCTTTAATTTTGTCATCTCTTCCAACCATCCCTGTATCTTAGACCAGTATTTTCGAGCTTTGGGGCATATCCACCACATGTGAAAATATGTTCCTTGGCTATGATTGCACTTCCAGAATTTGAGTGACATATTGGAAAACATTTTTGCCAATCTTGCCGGTGGAAGGTACCAGCAGTAGAACGTTTTATAGATATTCTCTTTATATGATACTGATAACATTAATTTATAGTTGGTTTGCCATATTCGTTCCCATTGTTCTAAGTGGATGTTATGACTGCAATTTTTAGCCCATATTATCCTTAACCGTTTCCTCTTCCATTTTAAATTCCAATAAGCAATTGTATAATTTAGTAATCATTTTTTTTCACTGCCTTGTAATATTTTGTCTAGTTCCTGTTCTTTGTTGTAAAATCCAAATTGTTCCTTGTCTTTTTTATGTTTTGTTTGAATTTGGAGGTACGGCTACCACCTAATTGCAGTTCCTTGTGTTTTAAGTTGTATCTGTGATTTCAGGTCACCTTCATCTGTTATGACTTCTTTGTATTTTATTGTTTTATTCAGATCCATGGCATTAGGATATATTAATGCCTCCATTGGAGATAGCCAGAGAGATATTTTCACATAATGGGGTTTTTTATTGCCTCCCATACATATAATAGACCATCTCTTATCCAATGTTTTTGAAAGTAACTATGGGTTCTGTTTTTCCCATCCCAAAGAAACGCGTGCCAGGCAAGCTGTAGATCGAAATCTTCCATTGTCAATATTCTTTTGTCCTCCAAGTTAATCCAATCCTTAATCCAAGTACTCACAGCAGCTTGGTAATATAGCTCGAAGTCTGGAAGGGACAGTCCTCCCTTGTTTTTAGTATCCTGCATTAATTTATATTTTACTCTTGCTTTTTTTCTTTTGCCAAATAAATTTACTAATTCTTCTATTCAGGTCTTTGAAAAAAAATTTCTCCAGTTTGACTGGCACGGTTTGAAAGAGATACAACAATTTTGGTAATACATTGGTTTTAATGAGATTTGTAGGTTTGCCCATCTGTCTAGGTCTTTCTGTATCTGATCTATTCATTTATCATAGCTATCAGCCTTTATTGTAGAACACTTCGCTGTGAGCCAAATTCCTAGATATTTTATTTTGTTTGTTGTCTGAATCTCTAGTTCTCTTGTCAATTCCTCATTTTGCCTTTTAGTTAGTCTTCTCTTTATTAATTTTAAGTCCTGCTACTTTGCCAAATGCCTCTATTTCTTGTAGTAAGTTTTTGCTTGACTCTTTTGGGTCCTCCAGTATAAAAACCGTGTCATCAGCAAACGCTTACAGTTTTTATGTTTCCTGTTTGATTGTTAGCCCTTGAATGTTTCAGTTTTTCCTTATCTGTGTTAACAGTACTTCCGCTGACAGAATGTATAGTAATGGGGCAAGCGGACATCCCTGTCTCACTCCTTTGCATATTTTTATATCATCCATGGTTTCTCCATTGATTACTATTTTTGCGTTTTGTATTGAGGATATTGTTTTAATTAGCCCTATAAATTTTTCACCAAATTTCATACTGGATATTTGCTCAATCAGAAATTGCCAGTTTAAATTGTTAAATGCCTTCTGGACATCTAGCAATATTAACGCCGTCTGGCTGTTTGATTTGGTTTCATAATACTCTGTTATTCTGTTAAATATCAAATCAAGGCATTAGCAGAAATGAATCCTTTATTCTACCTGCAAATCAACTGGGAAGGAAAGAGACAGAAGGGAGTGATATTATGCTTAGATGTTATATGTGAATGTAACCACAATAAAATTGTCAATTGTTACATTTGAAGGTGAGTACTGTTATTGAATTGCTGAATATGAAATTTGGCAAATTCCATTGACTTGTGCCTTGCAGATATGTTATACTAAATCTTTAAGCATTTCTTAGTTCTTGGTAAGAGCTAAAGAGGCTTATAGTCAAATAAAATTCATAGTAAAACAAGAAAATAAAATATCCTGTATGTTCTTCTACTGAGGCTTATTGAAATTGACAAAGAGTGTTTGCTTTCAAAAGTTATTTCAGGGGAAAGGTGATTTTGGAGAAATGCTCTTAGGTTGGAGTGTGACATTCTTGCACTTATTTTAAAAGAAAGAAACATGTTGACAATTTTAAAATATGAGCCTCTAATATTTAAGACTAGGGATTTACTTGCTGAAATTTCAGTAATTCCTCTATTTCTACATTTGATAATCTGTACAATTATTCATTTAAATTATTATGATTATCGACCCCCACTTTCTCATTTATTAGAGTACTGGGCGATTTCCTTAAATTTAGGTGAGATGTATTAAGTATTGCAATACTAGCGATCTTGAATTAAAGCAATGTCATACATGAACTGGAAGACAGTTTATTTTTCACAAACAGCTTTGTAGAATTTGTGATTGGCAATCTTCCTCAATCTGTTATCTTAACGATGCAATCAGGGATCAATGCTTACTGGATAAAATGATAAAATCTGTAGTCTCTGATCTTAGAGCAGGGATGTCAAACTCCTG